AATGCAGATATGGAAGCATTAATAGCGTTAATTGTGGTCGCCGGTAAAAGAATATTGCTGTAAAGTTGCCCTTGCGGATACGTTCGTAGGAAAGAGATGTGATCTTGTAAAGGCAAGCAAGTGGTAGTATTTTCTCTCCATTTGGTATCTGATGTAATATTGGCCATCATTTAGGGTAGTAGCTTCAGCAGTCATAGTATAGTCTTGAATGTTATTTGAACAAAAACGAAAACAAAAATTCATTTCGGACTTTGTCAAGTAAATTATACTCAATAATCGCTTAATGAGCAAAAATCGTTCTCGGAACTCAATGCAGTCAGTTTCAATGCATTTAGAAAAAGAAAATAGATTCAAGTCTTAAAATGAGATGTTTTGTGAAATAGTTTCTTTTAGGCCAGTCTTAAATGTTTTAATATCACTTGACTCCTTAATAGAAAGATCAAAGGAAAAGTTAATTCCACTGCTTGGGAGAAACAGCAAAAATAGAACAGTGTCCCTTTTTATAACTTGCTAGTCTGGTTTTCTTAATAATTCAAGAAGGTTGTTTGGATAACGTCTGAAGCGAAAGATCTAGACGACTTATAGTTGTCGTAGTAGYTCAGATCTTACTTTTACTAATTTGCAAGTATATTGAAATATGCGAAAATTTGGAAGCCGAATTTTGCATGAACTAATTTTCGCGATTGCAAGAAAAAATTGAGTAAAAGTGTTCTTATTAGTCTACAAATATCGCGCGTATTAAATTTAGCGATTTTTTTCAWAATCGCGAAAATTAGTTAGAATAAGGTGAACAACATGACAAACAACATGATGAACTAGAACTTCCGAAGCAATTCACTTTTGCCATATCGAAAACTCAACGCATTGCCTTAAACATGGTACTGACATTCTCAGACATTTTATATATAAGACATTTTTCCACTGCTGTAAAAATAAACATACTCGACCTCAGTGCCCTTTTATTCTTACTGTGTTATTGTATGGACACAGTTCCAATAGAATTCCTTATCAAATTTCATCATATAACTATCCATAAAATACCTATATTTCTCCTTTTCGAAAAACTGATATTTTCACACATGCGAAAATATCGTTACCATGTGCATTTAAGCTACTAGCTTTTTAATAAAAACTTTTTATAATAATAAAAAGCTTAAATTAAGTTGATTTTATGGATAATTATATAATAAACAAAATATTACATGGGCGCTTAGAGATACGAAATTTATCTTCTCGTCAGTTGAAAATCTCTCACTCGTTTGCTGCACTCACTCGTGAGAGATCTTCTCAACGCTCGAAGATATATTTCGTATCTCCGCACGCCCATGCAATATCCTCTATTTATTATAAATTTTGGTGCGCTTTTATATCGTAAGCTAGTGGAGTGGCATCGATATAGGAGAAATATCCATGCATGTTCAAGTTTCTTGATCATTTGGTTTGTGCATTAATGATGATTCTTTCTCAACAGCAGTGTCGCATTTTCCTTAATTCASTTGAAAAAAAGTGATAATTATTTTAGCTGGGAGATTATATATGATTTGCCTCTAGCTGAAAGGGAACTCGGAAAAAAAAAGGAATCCCTGATGGGATAATTATTTTTCTTTRTTAACTTTAAAAGCAGCTGAACTTTTCTAATATCAGTTTTTTATGGTTGAATTTTATAATTTCATCATTAAAAAGACCCAAACCCAATAACCTAGAATGGTTTACCTTTTTAAATAAAATTGGTATAGAAATATGCTTTTTCTGATATTTTTTTAAAAGATTTTTTTCATAATCATAAGACGACCATTG